TCTATATGCTGTGATTCTATGTGTTTATTTGATAACAAATAGATATTTATCCTAAACTAATCTGACCTACAAAATTTAACCCACTACATAGTTTCTCCATCTCTTAATTTAAAATTAGGTGGCCGAAAAGAAGGGTGATTGGATGAACAGATATATAATTGCAGCATGTAGACTTATCTGGGGAGGCAGTGTCATATTGTCGACGATATATGAAATTATTTAAACATTTTTGGCATTAAATTTGTTGGTCGGTGAAAATCTATTTAAAAGCACTCGTTTTTGGGATCATTTGGGGCATTTTCGCCGAAATTCATGGCGATAGAATACGGTTGGTTCTCGAAGGTCCGCTCAAATAAAAACATAAACATATATTTATTTATACACGTGTATATGTATGTATGCATATATTGTGCGCATGTGTGTATATATATATATATATATATATATACATATGCAACGAAGCGAAAGCTACGCACACTCCCAAACATTTTCAGTGGTCGTCGGTGTTGCTTTTTTTTGTTATATTTTTTCCCTACCTCAGGGAAGGGGAATCTATTTCATTTGATTCTGCTTCTGCTATTATCACATCATGAAAGCGAAAAGCTGCTTTTGAGCAACGAGAGTATCAGCCAGCGATTACACAGTTCGCAACGAGAGCGGCGAGCGCTCGGAAATTATTTCGGCTCGCATTTACGACAAACGCGAGCCATTCCGCGCATTGACGTTCGCGGACGTGAAATGTTCGTGAAAAATAACTCTCGCGGTATTAGCTAATGCGGATTACGATGTCGCGTGCATCGCGCGAAAAATGTGTCGTGACGATAACCGCCGCCGCGGCGGCGGGCACCGGCTACGGTTTCGCGGCGCAAGGCACACACGATATTATTAGCTCCCCGTAAATGTGCGTAATGGTACGCTATTATGAGGCCGTTTGTCAGGGCGTACGGACGACGGCAGTATTTAGAATCGAAACCTCGCGGTAGGGATCGTACCTGCCTTGCGCACATTCGAACGCGTATGAAAATAATATTTCCGCGACTGATATCCGGCGGGAAGCGCCGCTCGCGAATGAATCCCACACGCGCGCACGATGCGTTATGATACTGTATAAAAACGTCACGTGTGTGCGTGTGTCAGAAAAATATATGCGTATAAAAGATCGTGAGTTATCCTGGAACGATAGTTATTAAATTACATCGCGAATTAATCGCGGGATATTATATGAAAAAGTTATGCTCAGTTTACACTCGGGGTGTCCCGTAACTGGCGATGCTGTCGGAAAAGGATTGACTTTTCGTGAAAAAGCTCGCCGGAGATTCCGTGGCCAAATTGTGTCTCGTGCGACGAGTGATTCCGCTCGCGAGGTAACTGATGTTGACGATTGAAAAATTAACAATGTTCTTCCGTATCTCTTTCGACGAGCCGTCGCAACGACGGTTGTCGAGATACGAGTGGAAATACATCGATTTTACGCGTTTAAAAGGAGAAGAGAATCTCTCAAAAGCACGAGACAGCGCGGAAGAATGTGTCTTTCGACCCGCAAGATGAATTTTCGCCGAGAGCGAGGCGCTTCGCGCGGAAACATTTTATCTGAAATATCGCCGACTGATCTTTCATTCCATGAGGGAATCATCCCGCTCTTGACTGACGCGCCGTCGGTTGTAAGAGACATCATACAAATAGTCGACGATATTTATATCTGTGGAGATCTACACAGAATCGGTGGAGGAGTGGTAGTCATGCTGGAACGCGAAGGACGCACGTTGTTATCAGCTTTTCTCTTTTTTTAAACGGCCATGATATGCGCGATTTTACATGCAGATCTCGTCCTCGCGTTTCTTCCATTGCTTGCTACAATCGATTCTTTCGATCAGATAATCATTAGATGACGAGACACGGTAATGAAGAATTTTCTTCCGATTGCGGATGCTGAACGATCCTCAGCATTGTGTCACTCCGTTAAGCCGTTAAGCCCGAGTCACCTTCCAGATGCGACTCTTGATCGAACGTTGACGCGTGTGACATTCGAGCTGGAGACGGGCGATTAAAATCACGGGGCGCGCTGATTTTAAGTAGCCTCTGTAATTAGCGTCTGACCCACGTGTGGAACAGGTCCGGGATCGGACGCAATGAGGTGTGACGAACAAGCGATTAATTCAATGGCAAGCGTTTTGTACCGGACGTAAGCCACAAAGCAAGGACGTGGAGAATGGCAGCGGCGGCGGCGACCGAAGAAAGAGAGAGAGAGAGAGAGAGAGAGAGAGAGAGAAAGAGAGAGAGAGAGAGAAAATCGGTCGCATATCGTGGCTCCAATCGCGATGGCGACTCGAATATTCTCCGCGGTCCAGATCGAGAGAGAGAGAGAGAGAGAGAGAGAGAGAGAGAGAGAGAGAGAGAGAGAGAGAGAGAGAGAGAGAGAGAGAGAGCAGGAGAGACAAGAGTCAATTGTATCGATCGTTCACGTCGTCGCGCCTCGCGGCTTGTTGGAAGACTCCGTTACAAAACGCGAGACCGATCGTTCGTTGCGCAATGACGTAAGCGCGCGCACGTGTTAGCGATATCTCGCGCGCGAATATGGCGGAGTACGAACGGTATCAGTCTCTAGAATCGAAACGCCATGACCGCGCGGATATACTACCGCGACGCAGTTAAAATTCCATCGCGCCACTTGTTATTGTTGCAATCGCGTAACGATACCGACGGAACATAACAAAAATATTATGTTTCACCGCTGTGAAACTCTCTGTCTCTCCTCTTTTTTTTTTTTTTCTATCTCTCTGCAGCCTCCAATCGCGTTAAACGTCAAAATAACATCGCGGTTGACGTTATGTCGCGGCGTCATCCACGCGCGCGCGCTCTGTCTCCCTCCTGTCCTTTTTTTTCTCTCTCTCTCTCTCTCTCTCTCTCTCATCTATTTGCACCCTCCCTCTCTCTTTCTTTTTCGGTTTGTCGGCGCCGTGTCAGCGGTGAAAGGTATGTACGTGGTTATGTATGTACCGCAATGAAGCTCGTCTTCTGCCCTGGGGCAGTCGTCGAATCCGTCGCAGACCGAGCTCTTCGGTATGCAGGAACCATCTCCGCAGGTGAAGTCCATAGAGGGGCACGGGGCCAAACCTACAGGGTGCCACCGGCAAAAACAAAGACCCTCCTGATCGGACACTCGCGTCTCGCATTCTGCCGCTCGGTCGCCGCGATCCCGAGCCGACCAGCTCGGGGATGAAGGATAGCCGGTCGAGTCGCGCAGACGCGAACGTCGTGACGTCGGCAGCCGAGTAAGATCGCGGAAAGTGGCGTTTACTTCTTCCAAGAGCGCGCAATCGCGGGATCTCACGCAGGGGGCGAAATTACGCGACAATCTTGAAGCTCGAGAAGCTCGAAATGTCGGCCGAAAGAGAAGAGAAAAGTCGCCGGATGGGAGACGATATTTTCGTGCAGGCGACCGAGGCAGGCGAGCGCTCGAGGTCGAAATTACGTACAAGCTATGAACATACGATGAAGAGACATTTAAAGCAGTTTTAGGCACGACGGAGGGCTCAGTAAATCTGTACATGAAAAGCGTCTCTGGTAAATCGCGCGGTAATTCCGCGCCCGAGAGGGACTTTTTACACAGGATGTTCTCGAAGCTTGTCTAACATTTAAAGCGCCGTGAAGAAGCCCTTTAGAGGTGACTAGGATCATCATCCGAGGCTGTAGGAGGGGGCGGCAACACGATAATGCAATCATACGTTTGTCACGTATTCAACTTTGTGCCGCGAGAACGATGAAGGAGGAAGGAAGCCTGTCTCGAGTGGCCTCAGACTTCCGTTCGATCTCGTGTTCATCCGCCTCCTCCTTCGCCCCTTTCTCTATACTCGTAACTTATGTACAGTGTTTCGGGTGGGGGTGAGAGAGTAGTGTGACTCGCGTTTCGTCATCGTCAGCGGAAGTGAGTTCTGAGAACGTCATTGAAAATTACTCCCGCTCGTGATTTACGACCGGGAACGGTGTGTATTTCTGTATCCTTGTGGGAAGCGAATGGTAGACAGAGAAACCAAAAGAGCGGGAGGGAGGGGGGGGGGCGGGGAGAGAAAGAGGAAGAAAAGAGCGTGTGCGTGACTGGGACGATGATGGATCAGGAATGGAATCGACGGAGGACGAGGGAAGGATCATTCCTGTACCCGAGGCGGAGGATTTGCAATTTGCCGTCGCTGACGCGCTCTCGCTCGCTCGATCGGCGATCTAATCGCGAGTGCGCCGCCCCGCCGCAGATACGACCGGCTGACGGCCGCGACAGTTGATTAACGAGCCGCCGACACCGATCCGCGCGCACGCAATCGCCACAGCCAGGTGCAAATCCTCTCCCGGATCGCGCGCGAGGAATCTCAGACGCGACGCGCCTAATGAGACGAGCTCGACGAGAATCCGTCGAAGGTCGAGCTCAAGGTGGAACGATCATCGTCTTCCGGCCGGGGAGCGCCGTTCCCAGAGAGAGCGACGCACGATAGGCTTCCGGATTCGCGCACGATAGGCAGTATTTTTACAGCACAGTTGGACGGTACACAATGTGCGGCGTGCATTTGATTCCAGCATTAAACGCGGAACTTTCCCGCCGCGTGTGCGTGTATGTTTGTGTGTTTCGCCCCGGCGAAACTCACTTTGTTAACGTTCCCCGGGCAAGCGTTACGCGCGCGGCCGTCGAGACGCGCCATTTTCGTCAGCTCGGAGGAGTGAGACTGTGAGAGGACGAAGAGACGCACAAAGCCCAGCATCCGGTGCGTCCGGTTTCCCCCGAGAACGTCCAGCGCGTCCGAAGAAGCCATTTTCTGTACAGCGAAAAATAGTGGTGGCCAAGTGCTGATCGTGGTAGAGAGAGAGAGAGAGAGAGAGAGAGAGAGAGAGAGAGAGAGAGAGAGAGAGAGAAAAAGAGACGACGAGAAGCGCGTTTCCTCGTGTTCTTCACCCCGGCAGATTTTACAGCGAAGCCAGAGACGAGGTGTCGCTCGACAGACACCGCGCTGTACCTTTGGAGTTCTTGCGGTAGCTGCCGTCTGCGCAGTTGCTCTCACCGTCGCAGATGTTCAGCTTTCTTATGCAGTCGTTGCAGAAGTGCAACAACTTGAAGATGTCGTAGTCCTCCATCGACGTGTTCCTCGACGTTGCTGGCGCGAACGTGCCGACGGTAGAATGTCCGTTGAGGTGCTGCTCCAGCCTCTTGATGTATATGTAGTCGCAGTCGACCTCGTCGCTGGCGTTTATACAGTCGACGATGCCGTTGCAGAGCTTATCCTCGTCGATGCACGTGTACTCGTCGCAGGCGTGCTGGTTCTTATCGCAGTTGTCGACCTCGTAGTCCGCCTCGCCGGCTGACGTCACGGCGTCCTCGTTCTCGAGGAAAAGCGTCGCTTCCGACGTGTCCTTGTACTCCTCTTCGCTGTCCAAGTCGGAGAACTCGTTGTGGATGGTGCCGCCTGTCGTGGCGGCCGTCGTGTCCTCTTCGGCCCGTCTCTTCGGCTCTTCTTCTTCCTCGTCGCTTCCACGGCCGCCGCTCCATGGTTCGCCCGTCACGCTCCTTCGCTCGTTGCTCCCGGTGCTGGTGCTGGGTGACGGGGAGCTCCTTGGCTCTTCAGCAACCTCAGCGCTCGTCTCGACCATCTCCACGCTCGGCGACGCTTGGTCAGACGCGGAAGAATCGCCGTCGTCGGCGGAGGTACCGTGAGATCCCGTCGTTTGAGACGGTGCGTCCTCGTCGTCGCTCGAGAAGCGGGTCGTAAACGCACCGCTTTCGGTGCTACTCGCGACCCCTCCTCTGTCCGGGTAGTTCTCGTCGGACGCAGTCGACGGAGTCGACGGAGCGTCATCACTGCTGAGGTCTGCCTGCGTCGTTTCAGCCGATCGCGGTCCGCTTGAGAAGTCCTCCGTGACGCGCTCGTCGACGCTCAAGTGCTGCGTCCCGAGATCCTCCGTCGTCATCCGGTCGCTCGTGTCCGAGGACGCGTCCTCGCCGTAGCTCGGATCATTACGGGTAGATGTGGCCTCCGTGTTGCGCTGACGCTCATCGTCGTCGACGCTCGACGGCGTCCCGCCTCCAGCCGGCACGGTCGTCTGCTTGTTCTTGCGCTTCTTATTGCGCTTTTTGCCGCGTCTCTTCGAGCCATTGTTCTTGCGCTCATTACGGCGACCTTTGTGCTTGCGTTTGTTGTGCATCTCGCCGGATTCATCTTCGCTCGCCTGCCGCGTCAACGGCGCGTCCTCCGTCGTCACCGTCGTCATCGCCGTCGTCGACGACGGCGTTTCTGTCCAGCTTAACAGCACGTCGTAATCCTCACGCCTCGATTCCTCCTCCAGAGTCTCTCTGGACTCGGAGCGGGCTTCGCTCATGGCTGCGAAATCGCGCGCCGTCGTCGGCTCGGTCGTTTCGTCGGAGCTCAACAATCCGGAATCGATCTTGTCGTCGAGCCCGTCGACGAAACTTTCCAGGCCAGCGTTCTCGGCGCTCTCACCTTGCTTTGGACTGTCGCTCGACCTTGGCGGGTCCGGCGGGGCCGCTTCGTCGATGTCGTTGGTGAGCTTCGGGAAAGAACGACGCAGCTCCACGTTCGGCGAATTGGACTCGTACACCAGACTCTCCGTCTTGATGAAGCGGAAGTCATTCTTGCGGACTTTCGCTCCCTCCGGCGCCAGCCGATTTGTGACTGTCGAGCTGAAATCGTCCGCTGTACCCGACGTCGTCATGTCGGTCGAAGCCTCCGTTCGCATCGAAGCGCCTCCAGGCGATGCGAGCGAGATTCCCACGAAGGACTCGCCAGCAGCTCGTCGGCCGACGTCATCGACCGCCGTCTTCCTCTTCGTGTCGCCGATCCCTTCGCTACCGCTTCCGTCCGACGTGTTTACCATCGGCTTCCTCACTCGTTTGTGCGCTTTCAGCGACCCCGTCTTCGTCAACGCGTTAGCGCGATGCGCGCGGTTTTTCTTCCTCGACCGGGTGTCTCGAGCTCCTTGTTGAGTTGAACCCCGGCCGTTCGACACGGGCTTTCTTCTCCAGGACGACACTCTCGTCGTCGTCGTCGTCGCGTTCGAACACCTGGATCCTCCCGGCGCCTTCGCGCTGTTCGTCTCTCGCCTGCCGCCTCCGGCTTTCTTCAGCGTGCCATTGTGTTTCCTCAGAATGACGGACCTCACGAGGTCGTCTGACCAGCCAGGTCGCTCCGGCTGGAGCGGGCCGCGGCGATTCTTCGCGCCGGCCTTCGCGCCAAGTCGAGCGGCGCGCTCGTCGTCTCTCCACTCGCCGTTGATATTCGCCAGGTACACCGCGGGCTTCCGCAGCAAGGAATCCGGGATGGCTCGCGGCTGAGATTCCTCCGGGAACATCTCCAGCATCGAGTCGCTGATCGTCACGAACGGCCCGACGGCGAGCTGACGGCCGCTCTCGGTGGTCGCGGCTGGTCGCGACGTATTCCCTCGGCGTCCCGCGGGTCCCCCTCTTCCGCGGGGGGCCACAGCCGACGACGTCCGCGCGAGCGCGGCCAACTTTTCGGCGTTATGAAACTTTCGTCTCTCTATGGCAGGGGCAGGGGGAGGCGCATGATTTCGCGGTTAAGCGCGATCAAAGACGGATCGCCGCGGCGCGGCGGAAGAGAGGCGAGTATCATGACGAGAATTTCCAGGCTTCTTCAGTTTCGCGCTCACGACTGCCCTTTCCGCGCTTTCAGCTGACGACAGCGTCGGCCGTAGAGAGAATCTCGCCGAACTTTCGTTCGGTTTTCCGTTCGCGAACGTTCCTCGAGATCCTTCGCCAGCCGAGCCGATTGCGAATCGATCGGCGGTAGTTACGTAGAAAGGCTCGCGCGCATCTTGGATTCGTTCTTTCGTGCGCAACCGTGTTTGGTTTGGCGAGCGATAATCGCCACCGGGTGTAGATTAGCCGAGTCAACATTCGAGTTCTCCAGCATTTTGCATAGAAAACGCGTGTGACATTTCGCGTGTCACCAACTGCCTTCTTTGCGCCGTGACTCGCACTTTTGAACGTACAATAAATGGAAAATAGAAATTATAAAGAAAGAACTGTAGGGGTTGGAAACAAAAGATAATAAGATTACGAGTACATTTTTGTACTCGTGTGTTTCTTTTTAGGTAAATAATTATAAATAGCCGGTTCCCCTGTTTGTTACATCTTTAGCTAATTTATGGTAATCGATAATTACTGCACGGACGGCTCATTAAGAAAGACCGATGAATTTCTCTGAATACGTTTCAGTTTACGAATTTGAAACGTTGAAAATAGCCGAATCTTCATTAATAAATCTGATGATGAGTCCGTCGTATACTAAAATAACAGATTCCGAAAAGATTAGCACAAAGAGATGTCTACGCTCGAGCTCGAGCGACGTATCGTTAAAATATTTCTTCATCAATCTCGTCAATACTGAATCTGAACTCAACCCTGTCAGATCTTTGCTGATCCTTTTAGAATCCGTCACATCGGCGTAGAATAGACTTCTGAATTTCGCGTAAACAGAAAGGGGAAAGATCTGACAAACATTTCCACAAAAAGCTAGCTCATTCATGAAGCATGGAAAATATAAATAAAGAAGAGCAACACGAACATCTTTGAAATCGCGCAACTACGCGCAGTTTACATGCACGACGATAAAAAACTGCCCAACTTTGGAGCGAATGCCCACGTTACTCAAACACGTACAGATGACTCGCGATTTCATTCCGTCTTCTTTGCGACATATTTTAAAGTAAAAAAAAAGAAAAAAAAAAAAAGATAATCCAAGATGCGTCCTAATCATTCGTACGTAAATTTGCCGATCGATGAAGCGTCCGTCGCGCGGAAAGTTTGTTTTCGCGGCGAACGCTGCCGCTGCCGTTCCCGCGAGCGACCACGACGTTCAGCCTCGCGACGTTGAAAGCAGCGACGTTCGGACGCGAGTTTGCCGGTTATAATCTGACGTTAAGAACGACGTCCTGCCTCCTCGAGCGTCGTCCCGTCTCGCGCACGCACGATGAATACATAAATGCGCGCGTGTACGCGCGATTACGTGCGGAAAGGGGAGGAGAGTCGGTCGGTCGGTCGGTCGGTCGGTGGTGTGCGTGAATGAGTGAGTGAGTGAGTGAGTGAGTGAGTGAGTGTGAGTATACTGGGTGGAGGGAAGGTGAGACTTGGAATGTTATAATTACCGCAGTCCCTCTCATCAGAGCCATCGGAGCACTCGTTCACCCCGTTGCACTGCAACTCGTAGCCGATGCAGCGGCCATCCGTGCAGCGAAACTCGGCCTCTCCGCAACCTGCTCCATACACCACACACTCATGCGCGTTTTAAAGATGCATTGCCCCCCGCTGACCATTGTCAGCTGCGTTCCCCACCCCCTTCTTCTCGGAGGGGCTCGCTCGCTCGCTCGCTCGCGAGCGAGGGCCCTCCGCAGCAAGCCGGCGCGCGCTCGCGGCTCAAGCAAGCCCTTCGACCCTGACCGTATCTCCCGTCCAAAATGCGATGCCAGCGGGACACAGATCGGTGCTGTGCGAATGTTTCAAGGCGACGACACCGGGAGAGATCGGTGAGATACTCACGACTCACGACATGGTTCACCGCCGGCGAACGGAGTCGCGACTCCGCGTGCCGGCGGGCCGGCGGCCTCGTGCTGGTCAACAATCAGCTGGACGGTAGAAACGGACATTCGATGACGCCTTTTTACCTGCTGAGATATTTCGAGCTGCGCTGCAGTGCTCGAGAGGTTAGTGCGTGAGCATGGGGGGGGGGACTTCTTACGAGCGAAAGCGCGACGGCTCGCGCGCGTACCCGCTCGGGAGAATGGATCAATCAGAGCGCAGAGATATCTCCGTCTCGCGTTCATCGGCGAAACGAACACGGGCTGCGTATAAGCGCGCGAAGGATACTGCGCGAGCCGTATTCTGGATTATCCCGTGACTATGAGAAGTTCGTCCTTCGACGCTTGTCCCTTCCTCGTCGCCTCGGCTCTTCTCGTCTCGACGAAAGCGCCGAGGACGTCGCACAGTTGAGTCAACAAGCGGACCCTCGATTGGAGCCGCGACGCCGACGTTAACGGGACCGGGAGGCACTTTCGTGCTTTACCGGGAGAAACAGAAGCGCCGCTGTGCAAATTATTCAACACGTCCCGATACACGGAGACACGCCGCCCGGCGGCGGCTTTCTTCACGCACGAGCGAACGAGCCGCGCGTTGGCTCCGATCCCGCGCAATAAAACCCGCTCGCGAGCCGGCTGCAACGACGCTCTCTCGGCCGGACTATTTTCGGGAAAGACGTTATTCGCGACGGGTGCGCACCGAGCGTAAAGTTCGGTCAGCGTGGAAAATCGTAAATCGAAAGTCACGCGGAGCGTGCCGGCGGAAATTAGGTTTACGTATATTATTCGCGTTAGGGCCGGCAGCGGCCGGCTACTCTCGGACCGCCGCCGACACGCAGACGCACTGCTCGATCTCTCGCAGCTCGCGAATTGCCGAAGGCGGCGCGAATATTTCGCTCGCGAACCGTGCGACGGGGTTGCCGCCGGCGCGGCGCCGCGGTGAAAACCGCCCCCGGGAGGATCCGGCGCGGCGTGGAGATTCCTTCGACTTCGACAGAAATCTCGCGCGATCATTTCGTCTCGCGATGTTGTCTCGCGATCTTCAGGCGACTCTATCCTGCGGCCATCTTGACTGACGACGTCGGAAGCGAGAGAAAAATGTCTGGTCGAATGAAGCGACTTCCCGGTGGAGTATGAGCGATTTGGAATTTCTGCTTGAAGATACCAGAGCTGTTCTGTTCGCTGGAAATCTTGATCACTCAGACCGGTAACTTCAAGCGGAATTTCCGTATCTCAGCAGGAGATTCTTTCACCCGACCAAACATTTTTCTCCGCGAGCATCCGGGAAATGACACTCGCGATCGCAGATATTCGTATTCTCGCGGATTGATTCCTCGCGAGCGCACTTTCTTTCGTTTTATTTCAGCGTGTTCCAGAGGAGCGCATTTTCTCGCTCTTCCGACGTCACCGATCAAGATGGCGGATTCGCCGCAAGAGGGAGATCGCCACGCTGCGTGACTTGTCCGCGCGGCACTCGTGCCTGCCTTCGTGAGAATCGCGCTGTTGAACTTTGCAGGCGCGTTTGTCGCGCTCGCTTGAAGCTCAGGGCGGCGCCCCTCTCGATCGCTCGTGAATAATCGCGTCGAATAACCGCCACACTCGGCGGAGAGAGCGTCGACGCGAGTTTACCGCGCGGGGGTGTCGCCGCGCGAGCCGGTGGCGACGGGGCGAGTGATCAGGTTGCAAAGCTGATGGTCGAGCTCGGCAATTAATTGCGAATAATAATTGCCGCGTGTGTGCGATGTAGGACTCGCGCTGCTCCGCTGAAATTCGCTGAAATGTTCATTAAGACGCCGCTGGCGCGATCGCGCCCGTGCGATTCGTGCCTCTCGCAGGGAGAGGCGGACGACGGGGAGAAACACACGGTGGAAAAGTCGCTCGGGTCGAGGAGGAGAGGAGAACGAGCTAGCTTACCGCACTGGCTCTCGTCTTCGCCGTTGCGGCAGTCGGCCACTCCGTTGCAGCGCTTGTCGATACTCAGGCAGATACCGTCCATACACCGGTACTGATCGCCGCTACAGGTGGTCACTGAGAACAACGATAAAAGCGTCAGATCAATGTGTAGTGGTACACTCGCGGGGTTTGCCAAAGTGTAGATAGGCAGGTAAATGAGTTTATTGACGCCCCAGGGGAGGGTTCGCTCTGCGGGGAGCGCCGCGGACGAGGGGAGGAGAAATTCTCGACGGAATGCGAACGAAGGTGGAAGTACTACGGTGTTTCTCACGGAATGAGCGAACTGGAGACGTGTGACGTTCGTTTGAAGAGAACAGAAATCATATTTATTAAATTTGGATATTGCAAAATTTTTTGACAACGATTTTATAGGGTGAGACAATTTTTCCCAAGGTGAGTTGTCCGTGGCTTAAATCGCGGAAGAAACAAGCAAAGGGCATGGGGGAAAATTTTTAACAAAATATAAAGAATGGCGGAAATATCGCGGTACGGGTTGAGACGAGTAACGAACGGAACGGTCCGTCTCGAGTTGATGTCCGTTATGAGAGAACGAACTGCACTGGATTAAGTTTGGATATTACGGAGTATGTTGACGAGATTATGATTATGACTACACGGTGAAGCACATGCAATTTTTCCGGAGGAGATTTAAAGAAAAGAAAGAAATTATATACCGGTGCAATTATACTCGTCGGAATGATCGTGACAATCGTTTCGGCCGTCGCATCTTGCACTTTTGCTGACGCATGAGCCGTTGTCGCACTCGAACTCGTCCGCTCGACATCGTGCTATATCGAGAAAAAAAGAGAACGAAAATAGGATAAAAAATACACATAAATAATAACGAGTAGAAAAGTGAATAAACTGATAAAGAAATGCGCGGAACAAATACCCCCCCCCCCTCCCCAATTAAATATCGCCGATGGTGGCGCTCCGCACCGGTGACGCCACCATCGGGGGTTGATTCAGCGAAAGGGGCTTCTATTTTCCGTCGGAGGAAGGGGGAAAAAGAGGTATCGCAAAAGACCGCGCGGTGTCGGGTGATGCGTTCGTATTTTTTTTGCAAATTATTGTCGCCGTTTGAACCGGTTGTCGTCGGAATATGTGCAGTTTACGCGATATCGGTAATCAGTACATACACGCGCGATACACACCGCGTATTCGAAAATATTCGATGGTCCGCTTTAGTTAATTAAAAACGGCAGCTGTTTGCAGAAGCCCACTTGACCCATAGTAAATACACGTGTCGCGCGTTGCTCATCTGCCCGGCGCGACGCTCGTGTTGGTGACTTTGGATATTCGTTGCGTCGGGAATACGCGATACTCGAAAATGTGTCAGCGGATACGCCGATGAAGAATCAATATGAAACCTGATTAAAGCTTTACACGCTCTGCTAAATGAGACCGGGACGCGCTCGCCCTTCATCGTCATCGAATTTTTTAAACGTTCGCGCCGAGACTAAGATCTCGATTTGCTGCTGATTTGTGTGCACGTACATATATGTGTCGCATACGCACGACGTCGTATGCGTACAGCGCGTCTCGCGAATGTCTTACCGTCGATAAATTATTTTTAAGTACTTGTCGGATAGCCGCGTGACGTTTCGGTTCACGTAATTCTCGTGACTGCTGATTAAAGACGTGGGAACATGTTTGAGGAAAAAGTGACATTTCGAGGACTTTTCGATCTCTTGACGATTCGTCGAGTGAGAATTACATGAGCAAGATTATGTCTCTCGATGAAGAACATTAATAGGATTTGTATTATGTGCAAAATGAAAATTGAATTGCTATTACGTTTGTAACGAGAGTGGAATTTTTTACGTCCATAATAAAAATCTGAAATTTTCATTCCGCGCATGATGAAAATTGAATTTCCATTGTGTTGACAGTGTGAGGATTGTATTTCTATTATGTTCACGATGAACATTTGAAATTTCCACTATATGTATATGATGAAAATTGAATTTCCAGCGCATGCATGAGAATTCGCAATTTTTATGTATATTTTTGTTGTGTATTTATGTGTGACTTTGTGTAGATAATAAAATTAGGATTTTTATCGTATCCATGAAGAAAATTCCTAACGCATTCCCCTTACGCACGTAATGAAAATTTAGAATTGTACACATATGATGGCAATTTAATTTTCATTATGCTGATCATGAAGATTGTATTTCTATTACGTCGAGCTGATAAAATGTCACTTTTTCTTTGGACGTACATCCGTTTTCTGGATTATTCTGGACAGTCATGAGAGATAAATAGCTAGAAACGATGCTAGCTGCATGGATCTTTTGCAGCTATCGATTTACCTACGCCACGGCATTCGTGAGAATGAGTGTGTACCTTGCCATTGTAATTAGGGTTACGTGTACATACGATTCTCGATTATGCTTATATTATGCTTATATGTGTAAAATTGTCAATCCAACAAGTCTCCGAGCAGCAATGGAATTTGTGCCTGACTTGTCGCTTTTAGTCAATAACGTAACGTTCGCTCCTAATGGCTGTATAAATAAGCTAACGACCAGGCGAAACAACAATTACACAGTAATCTTTTTGCGATGACAAGTCAGAAATAGTTGCCGGCCAATAACGCTCGTCTGTACCTTTTTTATTTTAATTTCTATCTAAACAATACGACCTCTCCGAACAATTTGACCTGCCAGCCAATTCCAAAATACGCGAAAAATAAATGGCGATATGATAGGTAGATTGCATATTTCAGAACAGACAGAGCATCGCCTATTCTGTTCTCCCGTTTGTTATGTAATGGCTAGACAACAGTCAGGTCACAAGATCGATTCTGTTTCAGTGGATATTCATTTCAGTGAATAATTAGCCGGTAACAAGCTGCTAGATTAACGATCCATAAAATTTAATACTAACCCGCTGCTACCGGCTATTGTGTAAGGTCAGCTAGTTACATTTCTACTCGAGTAACCCTGAATATAATGGACAAGCGTACAGAGTGTCTGGATTTAAGTGTCTTGGTTCTCGCAGTGGGCGGGCAGAATTCGTTAGGCGTTAATGGAAAACTATCATTCTGTCCGCCATTTCGTTAACCAGCACGGTAATTATCGAGACGTTAACGAAAGAAAATTGGCAAATGAATATGCATGACCCGATGGGACGAACCCTGCGGGCAGAGTCTCATCCAAGACGTCGGAATCTCTGAACAGTGAAGGCGATGAAGAACACTCCAGCACTACGAGACTGCGCGCTTCCACTGTCCAGCATTATGCGCCAGCCGACGAGCTGCCAAGAGATGGCTAACAGATTCAGACATTTTGGATGACACTTCGTGTCAAGAATCCGTCCCACCACATCGCGCGCACTGATCGGTCTCAATTCTCTTTTATTAACGGGCTCATTATGTTTAACTGAATTAATACCGCATACTGGATCTTTGCTCCTCTTCTCTTCGACGCTGCCAGTCGTCTCGTCCTAAAGATAAAAAGCGCGGCCTAGTTCAGCGTGAAAGAGACTTAATATTTCAATCGTTACTTTGGCAGTTTATGAGATGACGGTGGACGGGTTCTGTTCAATTTAACGAGTTCTACCTGCGGACGATCGCTTGGCCGCCTGAATCCAGACACTCTATACATGACGTAGAGCGTATATATTCGTGTGTACACTCATGGTTCGTCCTATACCTGATCTAGAATCCGGGCAAGCCCGGAAGATGCCCACCATGTTGCAGCTGCAAAAATATTCGCTGTCACGCATCAGCTGCCGCAAAGTTATTAATATTACACCAGTAGAGAACAATTTAGCACACTTGATATTTAATATTCACTGATGAAGTCCAAATGTTTCATTCACGGGTATGATATAGCATAATAAGAGATATACAAGAGTACAAGCGCAATGTGTTTAACAAAAGTAATTGCAAAGTGATAAGAAATTTGTATCGCAATTATGTGATGGGAAAATGATTTATCACATAATTATTATTGTTATTATCTCTATATAGCTATTTGTAAATTTATATTCGGACGGCACGCAAGACGTGCCGCAATGATCTAGATATATTCAGCGTGAAAAGTGTGAAAAGTGCCAGGATAACGCATTCGTTTTGCCGCTTATGTCGCTTATCCGCCGTGCGATTCTTAGGATTTATTTTTCTGGATGGAAATTTTCTGGGGAATTTTTCTAGGGTGGACATCTTTAAAATTTGACCTCAAGTGCGGGACGAATCATTGTCCATGGGCGTACACAAGCGCGTGTTGCGTCTCGGACGGCCTCGGCGTCGGGAAAAGTGCTCGTTCAATGGATCTCCCTAGGAGTTCCTTCCGCTGCGGCCACCCTCGCGGCGAATTAATCAATCCCCGCGGCCGCGTCGGGCAAGAAGCGCGCACCAGGAAACGGACGACATCGCTGCCGTGCGCGAGCAATTAAGCGCGGGGAATCGCCGCCGCGATTCCAGTCGCGCACCCGTCGGCAAGCTTCTCTGCGTTCAGCAACTCCGCGATCAGGCTCGTGCGTGGATTATCATGCGCCGTTTCCGAGGCGAGTTAGAAGCTGCGAGTTGCGGTCAAACGTCATGCTGCGCGTGCAGGCACCGTCGGGCACGCAGAATGGGAATTCGTACGTGTTGCGGCATATCCTTACCCGCCGCCAGACCCCAAGACGCCAGTAGAGAATCGTACCTACCTCTTCTCGCCCGTCGATGTGTGTTGCGATGTCCCGTTGTGTGTATATGTGTGTGTGTGTGTGTGTGTGTGTGTGTGTGCATTTGCGCAACGCGGAATCGTGCAAACGCGGGAACACGAGACCGCGAGATGCCTTTCGAAATACAATCGAGTCCAATTTCCACGATCACAAAATTTCCATTCGACGAAAAATGGCGAGAGGCGAAGCGCCTTGCCAAAAGCGTACGGTAATTTTGCTTTTGTCTCTAATGGGCAAGCGCCCATTTAACACGGACCGTTTAACCCGTTTAACACGTTCGCACGCGTCGATCTCTGGCAAGGGGACGCTTGTGACGCTCACGTGTCACAACGGTGATTCTTTCTGTCTTTACGCAGACGGACTAAAGGTTGGTATTTTCATTATCCGTTTAGACGACGGCAAGCAGGATTCCGTCGAGTGTTGTTCCGTCAATGTTCCGTCGAAGCGGGATGACGAGTCCTGCGAGTACTCCAACACAGAAGCGTCGAGGAATCTTTTGACGGAGGATCGACAGACTTCTGTTTGCCGCTGTCTAACCGGGCAGTGAGAATCAGTCTTTGGTCTATCTTGCGCGATTATCGGCTCGTGTGATAATTTCGGATTCCACGGAGATCAAATGTGACGATTGCATCTTTGTATGGTGTCACAATTTTGCGAAACGACGTATGCGCGAAGGAAGATGGCGTATACGTTGCCTCGTGAAAAAAGAACGAATCGTTTCGTTTCATTGCCCGCGAGACCCGAAATTACTCTCGTTGCACCGTCTGATTCGCTAAAAAAAAATTATGGGATGGGCAGCGTTCGCCGCAGCGAACGTGTTAAACTTCTCGACCGAGCCTTGCGTTCCCGTAACTACCGGCGTTGGAATCTCACGGACATCGTCAATTAACATACCTGCCCGTGACACGTGCAGTTCGATCTCCATAAAGCGAGAAAAAATGTCGTGGCGTTTCCTCGTGTTACTTAAGAGAGAAAAAAAAATTATATATATATATATATATATATATATGTACATATCCTTTTCCACGATACTGGACTCTTAGCTTAATGCAGGCGGAAACTTGTGCTCGCGCACATACATACATATGTACGCGTGTGCATGCGTGTATGCATATACATGTCGCGAACACAAGTTTCCGCTTGCATTAAGCTAAAAGTCCGGTATCGCGCGCGCGAGCGCACGCGATTCGTTTCAGATTCCAACGCGAGCAGCCGATTTGCATATGCCTCGCGCAAGTGTGGCGGCTGGCTCGTTGTAGCAAAACAGTACAGACAATTCGTACTCGTGTTCGGACAATTTTGTTCGTCCCCTCCACCGATACAGTCCGTGAATCCGTCACAGCGCCGTGATATAGGCACACAAAAACCAGCCGCGCATTCGAATTGGTCATCCCTGCACTCTGTAAGAATGGCACTCCGGCTAATCTGGGAAGATTTATTACGCCGAGAGAACGGCACGACGACCCGACTGACGCGGGTCAATTCGAGAGATGGCATGTACACACATAGCTGAGAATGACGTTTACTACGTTGACGTGAATTAGACATTAACTGTCGGACGGACATGGCACATATAGAAAGAGAAAAAGTGCGAGCGAGCGAGCGAGCGAGAGAGAGAGAGAGAGAGAGAGAGAGAGAGGGAAACACGAATGACGAGCAAGCGCCATGATCGTCGGCGACGATTCATCGGCGACTGGATGAAATCGCATTCCTGCTTGATGTTTAACAACAGATCAGCTCCCATTGAATTAGGCTCTCGTCTGTAAGCGAACGGAAAGCCAAGGAAGCAACGTCCAATTAATCTCCGGCCCGTTCCATTCAGCTGCATCTTCCTACAATTTTCTCTCTTGCTCCAAGGCTTTTGCCTCTTCTATGCTCGGAGCAAGCTTGGACAATTGCTTCTGCAAACATTGTCGAATTCCAAGGTACATCACGCGATATGGATATTTCGCGAGCGTGCTTCTTTCGGGCTGCCATTGTCGTGCTTGGTAAACGTGCCCGTATAAACGTGTGTGAGATGTTTTTATATACGCGTTACACAGTCTAATATATTTTCTATATAAATTACATTTGTGCTTGGGTGAATTGTATTTATTATGGATTATATAAACAGAGTCTCCCACGTCCTCGCGACTTTGATTTTACCGAGTGCTTCCCCGAGCGATGCAGAGCTAACTTCCTCTGAATGGAAACATCGATGTTTGCAATTTCCCAGCTCATGAGCGATCAGAAAACTTTTGCAAACTCAATCTTCGGCGGGTGGCTAAATATGAGCAAGAAGAAGGTTATTTTCTGCGTTATTTTCTCTATCAATTCAAGCGGATTCGACTAGGATTTCTAACAGAGTTTTTCTCTGGACTTCGACTGGAAAGATATGACACAAGCGGAAAGTCCCGCTCGATTTTCGACGAAGAAAATAATCTTCGCGAACGGTTCAGAAGAACCACCGGATCAAACTGAGGTCACACACTAGGTCTGGGACACTCTCTGGATATAAATACACGCTTGTTTCGCGTCAACCGCGGAGAATGCACGAAGATGCAGTTGAGGAAAACAGACCGCTCACTCAAGGACTGACGCAAGCCGTGAGCGATATTTCGGTGCGTTAGCCAATGCGGTTAAGACGTGTCGGACGGTAATTCAAAACCACCGCACATCGCGCGCTGACGTAAGAGCGATAAAAGGACAGAAGAAGAGCACACACAGCGCGGAGGAAGAAGCTACCGGTGAGAGAGAGAGAGAGAGAGAGAGAGAGGAATTAATTAGCGGCCGAGCGAGGCGCGCTAGGAGCGCGCGTCCACGCCGCCGGGCCATTAATTAGCACGCATTCGAGGAAATTTCACGGAAGAGATTATAAATGAACGAGGAGTTACGGCCGATCGTCGTGCCCCCGCCGTACCTCTAATTGCCGCCGTAAGCGGCAATTAGTTAACGATCGAAGAACGGACGCGCCGCGCGGATGGACACCGCGTGACGATCAACAGTTGCCCCCGCGTGAATTAGTCACGTAGATGACCGCCGCCATTGCACGAGCATACCTTGGGGACACACGCAACGTGAGTCACACGAATTCACAGGGAGCGACGAGTCTTTTGTGAGACAGAGAGAGAGAGAGAGAGAGAGAGACAAAGCGAAAAGCCGCTGGACTTTTTCCGACCAGAAGGACACCGAACTGTCATCGACGCGAAGCTTGGAAAGAGAATTGGCTTGGACAGAGAATTGGGCTACTGATATCGAGTTGGATAATTAGCTCACCAGCCAGAGAGAGAGAGAGAGAGAGAGAGAGAGAGAGAGAGAGAGGGGGAGAGAGAGAGAGAGAGGGGGAGAGAGAGAGAGAGAGAGAGAGAGAGAGAGACACCGGTTGGAAGGTGTTTAATATGAAATCTCGCAGCAGCGATCTGCCGATTAGCTTTCCATGCGATCTCGCTGGTGTCCGGTCTCGTCTATCGAAATAATTAACGCCGGAGCACTTTGGTTCGCGCGGAAAAATTAATATCGGCTGCTTCGAGCGCGCGGCCAAAAGCAGCCAATCGAAAGCCGGGCCGAGGAGCGGCCCCGCGGGTGTGGGGGAGGGATAGGGGGAAAAATGAAACAGCGCTTTATTAGTGATGAAACCGCCGCGCGATAAATAATTCGCGGCCGCGCTGTGTCGACTGAAGCGGCGCCATAGAATAATTACGAAGATTCCGTTGCGCCCGTTAATTGTCGTGGCGGATCGCGAGCGTGGGCGCCGCTGAAACATTCATCCGCCGCTTTTGCGCGCCGCTTGCGGCTTAAATACATTCGCTCGCGATTACATTCGCCCGTTTCCTCGGGACGCTTTTCGCGAGAGACAGCCGCGTTTCTGTCCAATCAGCGGGTCGCGGGAGTCGCGACCGCGACCTTACGACCTTCCGCGCGCTCTCGCGGAGCTCGACCGGTGATCGTGATCGCCGGCTGACGAAGTGGCGACGATGCCGCGGGAACATTCCGCGATTTCTGACATCATCTTCGGTTCAAGGCCCGAGGCCCCGTTGGGCCTCGCCCATTTGACGATTGAATTGCAAACGAGCCGGCGAGAGTTCAATAATCCGTTCGCGAGCTCTCTCGCCCGCGGCGGCGGCGGCGACTCGCGCTCTCGCTCTCGAGTGTGCGGTGTGAGATTCAGTTTGCGAGCAATCCCCCGTTCCGCGGTTTGACTGCGAGAGAGTCTGGGAGACGTCGAATTAACGTCGCATTAGTGCGACGCGAAGTCGCCGCGGTTCCCTTTGTCGTTACGTGAGCGTCGTAACGACGACGACGACGATGACGACAGCGGAGACACGTCGTTGGCCGGTGAAATCGATCGCCGTCGCGTGATTGTCTCGCAATAATTTACGGCAATTGCTTGATATCGTGGCCGTGCAGCCATTTGCTTACATCGTTCAATTAGGGCAGACGTTGGGCAATTAGCGACGGGGCTGACCCAATTGCTGACAACTTCATCTGTTTTCTTTAAGCGAACGCCAAACTCTTGGCGACTTTGCCGGCGGAAGTTTGCACATTGCTTGTGCAGGGAATTACAGATGTTTCCGCTGGAATCGGAGCACATTGCTCGATACGTGGTGGAAACGATAAAAAATCTGGAAGTCGGTGTCTCGGGTTGACAAAAGTTCCGCGGCGTGCATGTCCAGAGGATTTTCAAAGAACATTGTTATGTGTCTTTACAATTGAATTTAGAAGCTTCCAAGTATACGGCAAGTTTGCAGAAAGGTTTCTATAATGCGTGCTTAGAGGTTTCCCGCTAATAAATATGGTCGGCCAGAGCGGCAGACGTTTATACATGGGATCTATATGTGCAAGAAATACGAAGAGAGTGATCGCGCGTTAGAAAAAAATGCTGTCATTTGACGCAACGTTTCGACAGTCGCCCCTACGTTATCGACGCTTTTGGAGCTTCGTATCAAATCAGCTGATTTGCCGGCTCCATATGTATCTCAAATTTGCACGTCTGACGTATTGTTAGTCGTAACAAGATTTTGAATAAAATCGGAAAGCGCGGTGAACGCTGCGACATCACAATTATAAGTCGAACAGCCACTCGCCGCCATCTTAGAAGTCGATATGACGTTAACGTCAGACGCCCGTTTGTCGAATCTATTTTCTCGTTAATCTCTCCGAAACTAAATCGTCAAGTCGGAGAAGCGAAACTAAACTGTCATGCCGTTGAATGGTGAGACTGGAACCGTTTCTGAGAAAACATTACAAACGCGGATTCGCGGAACGCAAATCTTCCCAACTCCGGATGCTCAAGCTTCCCAGCCGGGACAACTTTGCGCGCTTAGCTCACGACACGTGTACGCATTATCGCTTTGTTAATATTTATTTTTGCGACGAGGGGGTTACTCGGCGGTCGCTAACGGTTGCTGGCGCATTCACCTTCCGCGTCCGACCAATTATCTCATTACGCTGCCTCCCGATAATTCGCGACAATAATTTCATTATCACGGCCATTCTGAAATTCGCGTTCGAACAAGCCGCTCGCGCGCGTCAAGTGACGCGCGTCTCGACAGCGATGAGAAACAACGCCGGCAAAGCGGACTAACCGACGCGATTTCGGCGGCCGGGCCGATTTTCGCGCGCGCGCGCGCGCGCACTCGCCGGGCGAAGTTCGGCGCGACGCTTCCTGTCACGAATGAAAATTGGATTAAAGTGGTGAAAATGCGAAATTCCGGGCCGACGGAGAGCTGACGGAGGGAGGGAGGGAGGGAGGGAGGGAGAGAGAGAGGCCGTCGCCGACGTTCGGCCAACAACGAACGAACGGCCCGTCGAGATTAACGTCGGATTAAAATTGCGGCCGGTTATTAGGGCGGATTAATAAACGCGAGTAAATCTCGTTCGACACGGGGCCATCGCGGATTTGGCGCCGGCACGGGGGTGTGCCCCAGCCCTCGTCTATTACGCTCTTCTTTTTCCCTTTTCTCCCTTTTTTAATCGCCCTCCGCCCGCGCTCCTCGGCGGCGTTAACCGCCGCGTTAATAAGGAGGCGCGCGTGGAACGGCGTGTGATGATGTGATTCCATCGGCGATCCTCTCACGTGCTTTCTCAGGATAGAAGACGCGTAAGCGCGTTCCGCGCTGGAACACCGCGTTGAATGCGCGCGGAATCGACACGCGTGAAGAATCCGCTCCACGCTGCACGGCGAAGCGCCGAGAATTCGACGATGCGAGCGTTCCCGCGGCCTCATTCGCGTCGGGACTGAACGAGAGGAACGCTGTTTCTCGCGGGCAGCCGCGAACCGCGACTCGATTTTCGCGCTTCTCGCGAACACGCGAGAGGCCCGACCTTCCGGATCTCCGCTGGCGATCGACGCTCGCCGTCGGCCGCTCACTTTCAGCCCGGCTCGTATCGCGATCCGCCGATCTGCCGGTCGTAAAATATTCCCCTTGTTTCCGAGGGGCTTGGGAAGAAAAAAATTAGGCCGTAACGACCAGGCGTAGTAGTTAGCGATGCACACGGGCGGGCCCGGCCACGAAGCGCGTGCCTTCGCAAAAGACGACGGAAATAATAAACTGACGTAATTGGAAAGGGGTTGGCAGAGATGGGCTCGATGGCGCGGGCTGGGGAAAGGGATACGCCGATGTCGCGGGTGCAACGGCCTGAAACGCAAGGCCGAAGAACGCCGCCACCACCACCACCACCACCACCACCACCACCAGACGTCACTGTTATCGCTACCGCTTATACACCAGCAGCGTCGCCGCCGCCGCTGCCGCTGCCGTTAACCGTCCCGGTATATACCGCTCTTTTCTCCCCCGCGAGCACGCTATTGTTATTGTCACAGCTATTATAATTATTGAGCTCATCGTAATACGTCGTAGAAGCCATTCGCGATTAGTTCCGGCGCGGTCGCATGCAGAGCTGACGTGCGGCCAGCCGGCCGACGATAAATAATGCCGCGCTACGTGCGAGAACATCGGCGGCATTAGTGACGATTCTACGCGAAGATACTTCTATCGGCACACGCGGGCCTCGCGCGCGCATTCACATGTGCGAGGGCGATCTCGTTACAGAATTTATTCTTGTTTGGGATCCCACCCCTCCGAGCGAGCCGTGCGAGCAGCGGCGGAGGAAGCCTTGATATTCCCTCGCGATAATGACGACGACGACGGCGACGATGACGGCGACGACGGCGACGACGACGACGACGACGACGACGACGACGACGACGACGACGATGACGGCGTAGTCGCCCCGTCGCGTTTGAATTTCTTGCGTCAGAGGGGTTAACGTTTGCCGAGTCGAGTGTGACAATAATGAACTCGTTCTCGGGAGATTCAGAAAAGTTGCGCCTCGCGCCGCTCTCCCTCGCACGGGGGAGACTGACGGATCGAGAATCACGGCGCGAGTGCTGCGAGAAGCGTCAGAATGTTATCGTAGCCCAGAAGTATCGTCAAACAAGTTTCATCAGCACGAGAGTATACCTTAACCTTCCTCGACTCGCGTAGCTTTCTCGAGCTAAGAAATGAGCCAACGATACGTTCGATTTTCATCGTTCTCGAAAGACTGGACGAGTCTCGGTGAGTCTCGTTGGGGAATCACGCGAGTCTAGGAAGCTCAGGGAGGAGCTGATGAATCCTGAAGGTGAAACCATTGACGAGCGATACCACCACCGCGAGGCCACAGCGACAGTCCGGATACATACGAGTAACATGCAAATAACTATACACGATGAATGCGAACGAGTATTGCCCAAGTATGGGAACGACACTTACGGCAGTTGTGCTCATCGGAGCCATCGTAGCAATCCTGCACGCCGTTGCAGTACTTGTCCCTGTCGATGCACTGCCTGTTTTTGCATATAAACTCCGCCGGCGAGCAAGCTGCAACACACAAACACACACCCGAAAGTTATACCGGTTAGTAGTACGATCAGTTGCGCGGAGCGTTATACCGTTAACGTTGCGCAATCTACACAGGTCGAAAGTCGCATTTCCGACTAACTAATCCACTCGAACTCGTTACGGAGAAACGGAGCTCGCCACGTGTGATTTTGTGATTATTTACGTTATAAATAATCAAGTGTAGCGAAATGAAACACACTTGAGAGTCTCTACGGGCAAGGCTCTTATCTATCGGGCAATAATAAGTTGCACACCTTGTACAATAGCGCACGTAAAAAATTCACATCAATCAATCAAGTACGTCAAAATGGAACGCATTTAACGGTCCACAGACGAAGCTTTTATTCGTTAATTTCATCTTTCTATTTCCCTTCTTTGTTAATCGTATTTTTATCTCTCGGTTATTGATGCAATAAGCTGTGCAGCCAAATGGCACATTTAATAGATATTGAATATTGCAATATTGCAAACGTGGAGGTTGATAATAAGGGTCTGTTAAATACTCGAAATGGAAAGTAATCATCTCTCAGATAGATCCTCATGATCGTCATGACGGGACAAGATGATGGAAACTTGGCAGTTTTTTAGGTTACATATTTATAAGATCAATCATTAAATTTATATCATTTAGATACGCGATATTTTATACAGCATATCGTTCCGACTAAATTTTCTTTCTAAATTACATTTGAATTACATTTCTACTTCGTGATCCTCTGTGCAATATTATTTGAATAATTTACCGCCGTATGAGCCGCTCACAAAGGGGGATACAGCCTCGTAGTTAGCAAAGTTTTCGCCCGGCAAATTTGTCCGTACTTATTTATCCGCAGTGCGTGATCGAATGAACCGATCAATCGGCCCGCGTTCGTATTCCGGTCTTGATAATTTCGCGCACGCAGCGCCGCCACTTCCCGACAAATGACACGCGCGGGTCGCAGAGAACTCGGTCGTCATGTAAAATTTAATTTCCACCCTGGAACGCGAGGAGGAACGCCGTCGCGGTTCGGGTTCGGCTTGATATCGAGCAAGTGATTCGTCGCGCGTGTCGCGCCCTTTTCGAGCGTTCGCAAGGCGCGGCTGGGATGACAGCGGGAGCTACCTCGCTTCACAACGTGTACGAATAAGCCAATAATGGGAGTCGGTTGTTTAATATAAATTCTGAGAAGGTCATGCGCGTAGCGGAGGATAAGATTTCAAAGGTGGAATCGGCAGTAAGGGGCGCGGCTAGGGTTGCGAGACAAGAGGTTGGGGATCGGATGGCGCTTTGCAGTACAGACAACGGCAGTTCTCGTTCGGCTCTTTAGCTCCCGTCGCTCTAAATTCCACGAATCGAACGCTTTATTTTGCGTAAGTATACGAGGACGAACGCTCGACTGAATCTGTCTCTTGATTATGCGACTCTTAACTCTCTGACCGCGCGCGGAGCGCTTTGGACGTGAACAATCGCTGATGACGAAATACTTTGATCCGCCGTGAGCCAAACGATGGGGGAAAGAGTTTCTTGAAAGATTGAAAGCGGAAGCGGAAAGCAGAGGCGATTGACTGATTGGTTGACTGATTCGAAGCACCTCGACGTTGAAGCTCGATGTTTGTGATAACGATAACGATGATATTTATTAACGGGTTACACAGGTGAGAAATACAAAGAAATCACACGTAGAAAATAATCTTCGAACTCCATTCGAAGTGTCGAAATTGTTAATAGAACTCACTTGCGCTGCTTGAGTTATTCGAGCTGCCGAAGTCTCGAATATTTTCACCTTGAAACGTCGTTAATCGAAAATAACGCCGCTCGAAGCTTGAGATATCATAATTTATAGCCCCAACGGGGAGAAAAAATGGCCCGCGTCGAACGAAATTTTACTTACCGCCTACAGGATAAAGATAAAAAGGTAAATAAAAAATTATTTACTGCCTAAGATAAACAAGAGATAAACGAAAGAAGAACACGAACGCAAATACTCGTCGCAACGGTTGACAATTGTCGCTCGTATCGGGAGTGTATAAGCCGTAGGAAATCCAACACGCGTCCGTTACATCGATGGCGTTTCTCAACCGCGTATGTCGAGTGCAAAAGTTCTAACGGACCTCGTGACGGAAGGATGAGAAAAACTTTGCCTCAAAACCTTTGCGCTCACCCGATACGCGCGATCCGCAGCACTCGCAAGGTTAATTACCCTGTCCGACAAGTGTCCGAACAGAATTTGAACACGGGACCGCTTGAAATGGAGCGCGCGACAACGTTCCGCCCACCGGCGGATTAGCTCGCCGCGAAAACCGGTCAATTTCTCACGAAAATACCCGCCGACGTTGTCTTTGAGTGGCTGTTGTTCTCATTATTGAATTCCCTGCCTGCGATTCTGCGCACTTATCGATTCCTCTCGCGTTGCACAAAGCCAATTGCGATTTCCGTCGGGCGTCGCTCGCGCACACACACACACACACACACACACACACACACACACATACACACACACGCGCACACACACACACACACACACACACACACGCGCGCACACTCTCCCGCAGGCCGTCAGACCGCAGCTGTGCGGATGCAAATTTTTCATTAGTTGCTCGTCCGGCAGTCGCTCGCTCGGGTTTCGAAATCAGGAGCGTGCAATCGTTCGCGGCTATCCTATTTCAAATAAACATCCGTCCGCCCGCGCTCTCGCGCGCGGCCGACTCGGATTTCATAGGCCGGACGGGTACTCGTCCACTTCCACTTGCTGATCATCCGGCCGGCCGGCCGGCGAGCGGGCGGCGTGTTGGCCTAGTCACGTTGCCGGCGCTCGCGATAACGGCATCTCGTTTTCGCAGTTATCCCATCGACTAATGCGCAAGAGGGCCTCCGGGCGTCAAACGATCGCGAGAGGCGCGAATGGAAAAGCGGCGCGATGAATGTCGAGCGCGACAGAGAGTGGTAAAGCGATACGCGCGCGCGTGGCCGTTGGTATGAACGAATAATAAAATTCGAGGGACACGCGCGCGCCCCGCGCTCACTTCAATAAAGTGTAATTTCAGGCAGCAAGGGGATATGACGCTGCCGCGGGAAATGTCGCATAATATCGTCGTTGGGCTGAAATTCGAAGGGTACACGTTTCTCGGGATGAAATCAATTTATCTAAAAATTAGCGATTTGCAGCCGGAAGGGCACTGCTGCTCCCTGCAAAGGCTGCACGGCAGGGTATTTCTCGCGTGACTATTGTGTCACGTGTGGGAAACGTGTGGGAATTGTAGTAAAAATTACGCAAATACAATGTGAAAAATAAAAAAGTGTTACAAATATGTAAAAAAAAAAAAAACAAATATGAAACGTATAACAAATATGTTCTTTGTAATTTCGATGCAAATGATTTGTGTAGAAATATTATGTGTGTTTGACTTTTTAACACGCAGTGCCGTGATTACTTGAACGTTTTATTTTGTATTGCTTACCATTTTTATAGTGATTTACATCACAATATGGTCCGGCTTTACAAAAATATTGTAAGGGGAAATCTAATTTTTTACGCAACTTTTACTACAATATTTCCCTGGCGCGAGACGCTACGACGTTTCCTGATAAACGTATCACCCTCGGAGAGAATTTCTCCGGAAGATATCAATTCATACACTGAGAAAGTACTTGTGCGGACTATAAGCTTGTCCTATTCATACTGTTTCATATACCCATATTGTTTGAAACATTTTAAGATAATATGATTTTAAGATAATATGCGAGGCCATTTTACATATGGGATAAAGTTCACACAAATAAAGTTGAGAAAATACCCGCGCGAAAGAGCTATTAATTAATCGTAGTAATATATAAATATTCAAATATGCAAATGTTGTCTTATACAACATTTATATATTGCATAAATATCCTCAAATTAGTTGCGGTAATATATAAATATTTAAATATCGTCATGTGTGATATTAATATATTGTAAAATAATCGTACAATAATATATATATATTTATATATTGTATAAATATTGTCGGATATATTAATATCGTACAACATATATATCGCATAATGTATAAATTGCGGGGCTCTGCGGTGCAAACAAATCCCAGTTGCGCGACACACCACAGTACGTTATCCGATAAAAATGTTCTCCATGAACAAGCGAGCGTAAGCAACGCAGTTGCTGAATTCCGTCCACTTGCCAAATCCCACTCGCCGTTACGATCGCGCGACAATCGGAACAAATATCGTCCCATTTTTATCACGATTCACGTTACCGAGACGAATCTCGGCGGCTCAGACATTGAGAGAGAGAGAGAGAGAGAGAGGGGGGGGGAGGGAAAAAAGACCGGCTGTATCGCGAGAGTCACGGCTTAGCTGAGAAGCGAGCGTGGCCGAGTTCCCCAAAACGTTCTAATTAAACGCACATATTAGTAAGCTGGAGCGTCCAACATGGGAGACAAAAGCAGTCAGGAGAGCAGCCAGGAGTGCTGCGGCTCTTTGAAAATTGCCCGGAGGGAAAAAAGGGACGAATCTCGCTCGCGCGCGAGAGAGAGAGAGAGAGAGAGAGAGAGAGAGAGAGAGAGAGAGAGAAAACGACAGAGAGAAAAAGAGAAAAAAAGGGGGAGAGAGAGAGAGAGAGAGAGAGAGAGAGAGAGAGAGAGAGAGAGAGAGAGAGAGAGAGAGAGAGAGAGAGAAAGGGCGGCGGTATGCCATTTTGTCTCGAGTGTCTCGTCGGCGAGGCCACAATATTGCATTTGCCGCTCGAATTGCGCGGCTCTCGGTGGAAGAAGACGGCGCGTGCGAGGGTGGCGGCGGCGGGGCGACGGCGGCGGCGGCGGCGGCGGGCGGCGGCGACGCAGGTTGCCGGGGGATTGATCAGGTTGGCACCGGCTACCAGGTATGCTTTGACACCGGAGACTGTCATTCGACGGCGGTGCTTGACGCTGAATCGCGCTAGGCGCCGCGCGCGCGAACAAGGGCGCGCGACAGGAATGTCCTGTAGAGTCCTTTCTCTCTCGCTCTA